ATAAATTAGATAGATCGTGTCCGGTACAAAATATAATTGAAACTCCGTGGTGCCTTTTCCCTTGGCAGCACTCATATATTTATACGGCTGAGTTTTAAAATTCTTATTAGACAAAGCTGATAATATAATCAATTCTATATAATAAGAATATAAAACTCAACCGTACAAATATGATCAAAATTTTGGTGCGGCAGTAAAAACAACAGCCGGACGATAACACCGCACATTTACATGATTTTACCTCTAGAAGTGCACTATCATGTGATTATTACAATAAAATAATTTATTAAGTTCAGACCCAGACCTCCATAAGTGCACGCCTCTAGAAGTGCACATTTCCTCAACGACGTGCACTTACAGAGTCATAGACAGAAGTTCGTCTGATTGGCTAATAAATTCAATTTAATTTTACATTATTTATACAGCTTAGAGTACTTTTTAAAAAAACGAAAACCAACCATAATAAAGTAAAAAAAAACTATTTAGAATGTTTCATTAGAGCTGTAGGACTCCATAGTCAAAAATAAAATCTAATTCTCGTCCGTTTAAAAAAATTAAGTTGATTTTATCGGGTTTTGAGAAGTTATACTATACTAACCTTTTTAAACGGACAAGAATTAGATCTAATTTTTGGCTATGGAGTCCTACAGCTCTAATGAAACCTTCTATATAGTTTTTTTTTTTATTTCATTATGATTAGTCTTCGTTTTTTTTAAAAAGTACTCTAAACTGTATAAATACTGTAAAATTAAATTGAATTTATTAGCCAATCAAACAAACTTCTGCCTATGACTTACGGAGGGTCAACTGTATCTCAGAGATAAATGGGCCGCTATCACGGCCCATATATCTGACAGATATTTGATCCGATCACTGATCTACACCATAACAGGAGGAAACGTACCCGATCCAAAGTGAATCCCACACATGGTGTGATAAATTAAAATTAATATAAATAATTTCAGTTTTAATTAATCGCAATTGATCACACCATGTGTGGGATTCACTTTGGATCGGGTACGTTTCCTCCTGTTCTACACCATACCACCATACCAATATTTTTTCACCCACCATACGATAACTTATAATTATCTATATAGTAAAAATAATTTTTCCTATATGTAATGTGTTTGTAAATTTCTTTTCTAGTAATAATTTTATTTAATTTGATTGGTTAATTTTCACGTGCAAATCTATAAACTTAAGTTATCCTCAAAACCTCGTCCCCGAAACAATATTGTAATTTCCGGGATGTTATAATCGATTAATTTTAATCGATTGCTATTGATGAGTGTTAATAATCGGGTTAAATCAAAATCTATATATATGTTGTAAGTGGGAACGGGATTTAAGTGGATTCGGAATTTAGTTAAATTAGCATTTCAGGGTGATGATTTTATATAAACCCTATACCTAACCCTAAAATTAAATCCCGTTCCCACTTACAACATATATAAATATATATATATATATCGATTGCAACACACTTAAAACAATCGATAAAAATATCTCACTTTTAATCGATAAAAATATCTCACTTTTAATCGTCACTTTTAATCAATCATCGATTACAATCAAATTTCTGATGAGACCGAAGAGATTTTTTTTTTTAGTTTGTCTTAAAATTTAATGAAACTATTATAAATCACCGCTATGTCGATAAGATGAATCATGCGGATGACTGTATTTTTAGTTAAGAGTTGAATCATAAACTTGTCTCATTATGCGATAGAAAATCGGTTCATTAAAAAAACATTACATCAGAACTTGAAAATAGCCTAACTATGGATCAAAGTTTGTTAAATGTTTGTTGAAACGTATAAATAGTCTAACAAAAAATCAAGAAAAAAAAACTATAATTATTTCCTTCAAAGAATTTAAGAATTTCCTATTTTTCATCTCGTCTATTATATGTGTAAACATGCACCAAATGCTTCAATACTTTGATCGTTTGATGCCCCAAGGAGAGATCGATTCGCAATCTCCATTTGCTAGTCAAACTCAGGAATATATTCACAAAATCGGTGAAAAAATTAGATCACGTGTTGTGTTCGTTACTATGTTACCACAGATTATGTCTACAATTTATCTCCTTGTTTGGCGTTCATCCGATATTGTGCCTGAGAGGTATATGGCCTATTCTGTCGCGACTTCCATTATTTTCATAGGTAAATATATGTATTAGCATATTGACCATAATGTATCAATTGAGCTATTTACTTATTATTTGATATTCAGTTCAGATATATAAATTATATACTTTTCACGTTTCTTCTCAATCTTGTGCGAAATTGCTAAGCATCAACTTTTTAATAACGCATATATTGACACTAATTGATTTGCGAGAAAAAGGTTAATAAAAAAAAATTAAATTTGGATTACGGTCAAACTTTGTCACGCCGAATATATATTACTTGCTGCTTCTTCTTTTCTCCAATTCCTATTGGTCGCAATGATGGTCAGGTGATTTAAATCATCATGTGACTAAATTTAATCGCTATGGATGTAGCTAAGGATGGCAAGTATTTTAAAAACACAATGTTTTAAATCAGTTTTATATTGTTCTAAAAAGTTGTTTATTGTTTTA